TCTTTATATGTTCTTTTTTCTTCAAGATTTATTTATGCATACAGAATTTGGGTACCAACCAGAGGTGCAGGGGCAGTAAGAGGATTCACCAGACACAGAGTAGGGAGCAGAACAGGTGGATAGACTGAAATACACTGCTGAGTGGGGCAGTGGGGAGACAAGAGAGATCTGCTGCGCCATGTGGGGATTGAACTCACACTGAAGTGGCTGAGGATAACTTGCAGTGCTGCGTCCTAACCTGTTGAGCCATCAGGGAGGGCCTACATGTTCTTTTTAAGTTAAAAGTCGAATAGTTTTTGAAAGATGCTTCTCTTGCTTTTGGGCTAGTGGGTGGCATGCAGTAGAAATGACCAAGTACTCATGGAAATGGGAACATGAAATGTGACTTTCTCATAACCAGCAGTGTGATCTCCTATCAGTCACTTTATATCTTCTCTGCATGACTTAATTTTTGCATCTGTTTTAAAATTTTAAAATGCTTTATTTTTGTAACCAGTGTAGGTAGTTGCAGTGTTTATATATGCATACTTTCATGGAGAGTTTTTCTTTTTTTTTTAATTGTAATTTACCCGAGCAAATGAATATCTGAATATCTCAGGTAAGGTTAGTTTGGCATTAAGTATAATTTCATGGGTTACACATAGTCCTTTTATAGATAATCTCTAGCTGGTAAATGAAACTGACCTTCAGAAACCATTAAATAGCAATAACAACAAATGGCTGCCAAAGTTTATTGAGGGAATTTTTGTGTGTGCGTGCTAGGCACTGTATTTAGGTTTTTATATGCGCTACTTCACTTTGGCCTTTCAGGTAAAGATTAGAAAATTGTCCCAAGTCACATGTGGAACAACTGACATTAAAATTTATAGTTTCACTTCTACTTTGCTATACAGCCCTCCTTCCATTTGAATGCTACTTGCCTAATGTATGTACAGACTATTGTTTGCAGAGGGCACTAATACACATGAATTATCTTATTTTTTCAACACCCTGTAAGAGAGTGTGTTACAGGTGCAGAATGGAGGTGTGGAGTGGTTGGCTCCCAGGTGTGGTCCCACATCTTGGAAGTGAGAGAGTCAAGACTCGAGTATTACATCACCAAATTTTCATCGCCATATTTTCATTGCATTTATAGGAAAGTGAACACTGAGTTTTTTGAAATGGGTGACATTTTGGTTTTCATTTAAGCAAATATGGCATATGTGTATAGGAAATATTTATGGCTTAGTTGTTTATTACTTATCTTTCTGTTGTTAGTTTGAAGTCGGGTGTCAGCATGGTGTCTTTCCTGGGGAGGCCTTCTTCCTCATTCACTCATGCCCTGATTGAGGACCAGATTCAATTGTTCCACTTACTATAGGAAACTTTCTGTAGATCAGATGATTCTTTTTACCCTGAACATTCACAAACCTTTATTTGTGATTATATTTTGAAAATGACTCAGACAGGACTCTCCCTGGTGACATAACAGGTTAAAGCACAGCACTATGAAGCTATCCGCAGCCACTGCAGCAAGAGTTCGATCCCCAGCCAGGGAGGTGACTGACGTGGTGCAGCAGACCTCTCCTGTCTCCCTGCTGTTCCCTTCAGCAGTGGATTTCAGTACATCTGCCTGCTCTGCTCCCCACTCTGTCTCTGGTGAATCCTCTCGCCTCCTGTACCTCGGGGCTGTACCCCAATTCTTGTATACATAAATAAATCTTAGAAAAAGACTCAGACAACAAAAGCAAGTTCCTATTGAACCCTACAAAAATTTGATTCATCCTTTCAAAAATATCATAAGAAAAATAAAAAAATGGATGAAGAGAGTTGTTAGAGGCATAATCTGATGAGACTGAAGAGACAGCAGTGGAGTAGAAAATACAGTTCATTTGTAGGTGAGCGTTCCCCTCACATTATGAGTCATAATCCTGTTAATCTTTTTATGTAATTACTCTAAGACTCTCCAACCATAGCTCTATTTGACAAGATATGCAAGCTTAGATACAGCTTAATTCATAACAGCAAGTCAGAGGCATCAGGCTAAATATTCTAACCTCCCCCTACAAAGCTCTATGGCTTTGAGTTATGGCTCTTGTGTTCCGATTGCTGGAGCAGGGAAGTGGACACAGCCCTCCTGGAAGGCTGTTCATGGGCTCCTCCGGCCAGGCAGGGGAGTCCAGGCTTTGCACACTGTTGACTTTCTGTGTGGCATCTGTGAGCCGCTAGGTGCGTTTGACATGATGGGGGTAACAGCACGGGAGTGTGGCAGAGCTGCAGGCCTGGCTGTGTGGATGTGTCCGTGAGCCGCAGTGAGCCAGATCTGACAGCCGAGCGCCTTCCACCTGCACTCCGCACTGCATCCTAATGTGTCCTGCTTACGAACTGTTGGCATTTGACAAAGAAGTTGTCAGAGTTGTTGTTTTCCCCTGCTTTTCATCCTTTGGTGTGCTCCACTGTGATAGGTCCCCAAATTCTTCCTGGTGCACCTCAAGGTGTGCACTTTCTAAAAGGTAGCCCCCAAATGCCTTCACCCTTATGTTGAATTTCTGGTTAAGAATGAATAAGAAACATATTTGCATTTATAGCAGGTAATATGTTGACTAGGCAAAATAGGTACACAGTTGAAAAACTGCTTGAAGAGATTTTCAAGTTGTGATTTGGAAGGTGGCGTCAATTCAGCATTGAAAGACTGTGTGCATTTCAGCAGGTTATCCATGATGGCTTAATATTCTTTCTGGCATTTAAATATTCTGTCTATGAAAAGAACTAAGAACTGGTAAAAGGTTCATAGGGAAATGCAATCTTTTTTGAGCTTGAAGGAAAAGTTGAGGTGTAGATTTTCATTATATTCGTGATAGAGCCCACGGCATACAAGTTTATGCAAGGAGATATCATCAGATCTTTTTATGTCTCAAATAATGACTAATGTTGCAAAGAGCACTTACCCGGTGATATCTCTGCAGCAATGGCTTGTGTAATGTTAGTGCTATACACCTTCGGCGAAGGGGAACTCTCCACAGTGGTAAATGCGTCTTCATGGTATTGCACATGAGAATACTGACAAGGCAGAAAGCTGTAATTAAACAGAACTGGGCATAAAAGTATGTTACTGTTTTAACATCTGTAGACCGACTGGTCGCAGTATTTCTGTTCTCCTTTTTCTTAATCCATTTGGACAATGATACGGAAGATTCAGAAAGAATGGAGGAGGTTGGCCCTGAATGATGCTGAAGGTGATGGGAAAGACCCCTTTCCTGATGGGGGAGCATAACACTCGGGCTGCCACATCTGGCCGAGCAGGTTGTGCACCCCACAAAGACAGTGCCCACTGCAGTAGGTGGGGACAGATACGCAGTTTGTGTTCGCCAAACTGTGTCCTGTGGAGTAGGGCTGTGGCCAGCCCACAACAAGTTGTGCCATTCATTTTCTAACTCTTTCGTTTTTAATTAAGATGTTTATTTATTTTAGCATATTATAACTGGGGTGTGGGCCAATGGTGTGGGGGGTGGGTGAGAGGATTCACCAGAGACAGAGTGGGGAGCAGGACAGGTGGATCTACTGAAATCCACTGCTGAGGGGAGCAGCGGGGAGACAGGAGAGGTCTGCTGTGCCATCTGGGTCACCCCCTGGCCGGGGATCAAACTTATGCTGCAGGGGCTGCAGATAGCTTGGAAGCAGTTTTAACCCCTGTGCCACCAGGGAGGCCCCAATTTCCTAATTATTTAAAAGGTGTGTTACAAACTGACAACAACCCAATGACCTATGTAATTTCTGTTTATTTGAAAATCTGTTGTTTCTGCCCTTACTGTGTTTTTCGTCCCAGCAAATTCCTATAGCATGCAGGTAATTTCTATGTGGATGTGTGCTTTCTGTATACACACACAGGCCATGTCCAGGCCACGTGCACACATGCCATGTAGGCCTGAATTTATGTCAGACACGCTTGGAAAGGAACCCCTCAAGAGAGAAGTCACCTGTCTATGTATTTGATTCCTTATCAAGTTCTTGATCACATGTTCTCGGTTACTTTATTTGAACACACCGTGCTAGTTGGCACTATTTGATGAAAGCATCGTATCCTGCCTGAGAAGTCCTCAGACTATGCTGTAGCTGTGGATGCTTTTTAAGATTCCTGGATGGGGCCTCCCTGGTGGCTCAGGGGTTAAAGTCTCAGCCCTATCAAGCTATCACCAGATGCTGCTGCATCAGTTCGATCCCCCGCCAGGGAGTGACCCACATAGCACAGCAGACCTCTCCTGATCCGCCCACTGCTCCCCTCAGCAGTGGATTTCAGCAGATCTGCCTCTTCTGTTTCTCACTCTGTCTCTGGGGAGTTCTTTCCACGCCCCCGCTCTGCCATCTCTGGCCTGTACCCCGTTTCTTCTATGCATAAATGAATAAATAAATAAATAAAATAAATCTTAAAAGAAAAAGATTCCTGTCTGGCTGGAAAATGAAAGAAGCACAGGTGTTTTGTACAGATTTAGTAGTTATTATAGAGATGAGCAATCATTTTAAAAATAATGTGTTGTAAGTGGATGGATCTCAAGTAAATGTTTTTAAGATGAATGAATATTCTGGCACTATGCTAATGGCTCCCAGTAGCGTGGCTTGTTTTTGCCAGTGATAGTACTATAGACTAACTCAAACTCTGCCATGTCTCTACCAGACTCAAGAGGCAGAAAGGTTTGCTCTGGAGCCCTGAATTGGAGGATGCAAAATGTGACTTTAGGGATGGAAAAGATCCTGTCGAGGGTCCCGTGAAAAGCGACTCATGTGGCATGAGGTGTGAGACTCAATGGGCTCGCTCCTTAGAAATTAACGCTTTACACAAAATACAGTTTAAATGTGTAAAATGAAATTGATCTTAGAATTGACATTTGATAAATTTCTATATTTCAAAGTCTATACATTCAAGCGGACTAATTCTTTTCCCATTCCCTTATTGGAAAACAAAGTTTTGTCTTATATTTTGGTTCTCTTTATAGTTAGTAATTTATAGCATTTTTTTTTAACAGAAACTGAGGCTCCTTGAAGAGCTTGAAGACACTTGGCTTCCATATCTGACCCCCAAAGATGACGAATTCTATCAGCAGGTATGATCTTTTACCATTGTTATCAATTTGTAGTGATCTGTTCTCCTCCACTTAATTTTACCTCCCAGGCAATTATGGTCTGCAGAGGTTAAGTGAGAGGTGAAATGGCCGATTTGATCATTCCCTTTGTCAGTCTGCCTTCCGCTGTGAGATTCATGCTCTAGTGTAGTAGAGAGTTTTTAGGTCCCTTGGTCCAAAGAATCCAAAGACTCCACAAGAGTCTTCCTGCTCCTGGCCTCTGCTCATTCTCTTTCTTCTGCATAGACGATCCTGTTGCCCTTCTCCCCTGCTGATTGGCTAATTCTGTGAGACTGCTAACCCATGGCCTCCTTTGTGAAAATTCCCCCATGTGCGTTACCTGCAGGTGGTCATGTCTGCTCTGTCCTGTGTCACTGGTCCGGATCAGTAGCTCTTGAACCCATCACCTTGTATCGCTGGGAGGGTTTCTGTCTCCCACCCCGCCCCGACTTAGCACCTTTTCCATGACAATTGTGAAAACTCAAGGAAACTTGTAGCAACAGAGGGAATTGACTGACCTCCCTCGATGACCTGGAATATATGACTATATCCAAATTCTCAAAAGATACCATCTGATCACTGTTTCTTTGTTTCTGCTACGTGACTTTCGCTGGCTAGGCACCTCATGGTGCAGGATGCTCTGACTGTCAAGGAGCTTGGTCTCTGTCACGGGGGCTCATGTGGTTTTTTTTTTTTTTCTACCAGTTTGTGATGTTGTTTGATGTTGGTTTGAGGCATCTGCTTAGGCCCAAACCACTGGGGTCCGGAGAGCGAGATGCTCCCGCTGGCCTGACCTTGCCATGCACCTCACTGGGAGAGGAGCATCCTGGGAAAGGCCTAGGCTGGGAGTCAGAGAGGAATGGTTTTCCCAACGGGAAGCTGGAATCTGTTCTGGAAGAAGAAGGGGCCGGCACACTGGGCTAGCACAGATAATACATTTTTACCTGTTACTTCCTTCTGGAAGGTGGGCTCTCGAGGGGTAAGAATGAGGTCACATTCTGTCATCTTTGTTTCCCTAGCATCTAGCCAGCACTTGTCTGTAGCTGACTTCCAGTAGCTGTGGAAGGAAGAGAGGAAGGGCAGAGTTTACCCCCCTGGACTTCTGGTTAGCCGACAGTTCTAAGACATTGTCTGGCCTCTTCATTCTCCGTAGATTGTCACTATGTCCTCTGATCCCTTTCACGCATCACTGTAGTTTCCACCTTTTTCCTAGCCCTTAAAGCTGCAGTCCATTTTGTCCCCCAAGACCCGAGGCTGATAATGTCAGCCCCCTGCCTCAGATCCCTCCATGGCTGGCTGCTGTCTTCCCTGTTAGCCTCATCTTCCCTGCTCTTTCACTATTTTGACCCACACTGGATTTCCTAGTAACTTAGGTTGACTTGATAGCTTCCCCTTGGAGGCATCTTGCTGGGTGCTCAGCCTCCTTTTCCTTTCCCTGGTGAATTTCTGAGTTACTGGTACAGACAGCCCAATGTCAATTCCTCGGGAGCTTCCCCGGGAGCTCTGTCGCCCTCAGTTCCCTCTACTCCCTCCGGTGCACCTGGATGCTTTACTTGTGCCTGTATCAGCAGTTATCTCATTTAAAAAATGATTTATTTATTTATTATTTATGCATAGCAGAACTGAGGTGCAGGCCAGAGGTACTGGGAGTGGGGTGAGAGGCTTCACCACAGACAGAGCGGGGAGCAGAACAGGCAGATCTACTGAAATCCACTGCTGAGGGGAGCAGCGGGGAGACGGGAGAGGTCTGCTGGGCCCTGTGGGTCACTCCCTGGCCGGGGATAGAACTCAGGCTGTAGGGCTGAGACTTAGCCCCGAGGCCCCAGGGAGTCCCTCCGTCACTGTTTAGGCCCTCCTGTCCTGTCTATTTTATGTGGTGCTTAGCACTCAGTACCTGTTCATTCAGTTTGCTTGGATAAATGCATGTTAATTTAATAGGCAAGTTCCATGTGATTTGAGGTTTGTTTTTTTGCACGTAAACCCCGCCAGGGAGGTGGCATCAGGAAGCCTTTCCAGGGCTTAAGAAGAGACTTTCCATTCCAGAGTGGTAAGGTTTACTCCTTTGAGCTTTTCTAGCTTTCTGAACTATTTTAAATGAACATGTATTCTTTTGTACTCAGTAAAAACAATCATTTAAAAAGTCCCCTTCAAATAGGTCAGCTCACAAAATGATGTCCGTGCTCGAGTCCACACTCCTGTTTTCATAGCGACAGGCCTTCTGGTATTTGATTACACTCATTGTTACACAACGGCGGCTGGGCCAGGCCGGCTTTTGTGTCGTGAAAGTAGTACATGAAGAATTAAACACAAAAGGTTATCAGCCCGCTGTGCTCCCAACCCGCCACACACCCAGGCACAAAAGGAAACGCAAGTGCAAACAGAGGAACCATCAAGGCTTCTCTTTTATCTTTCCAACACTCACAACAAACCCGATACCAATATCTAATCACGCTAAGTGCACCTTATAATACGGCTTAGTGCTTCAACAGAACCTTGGCAAAGTAAATCTGCACGCTTAAGAGATGAAGAGAAAATGTTTTTTAATGACATGAATAAACAGAAAGTTTAGACCTGACATTGGGTCCCTTACACCGACCTCAGCCACAGGAATGCCAGCCCGGTGCCAGAGTGAAACCAAGACTCGAAGCAGCGTCCCTTGGGTCTGTTTATTGGCCCTCAGAGTGCCCAGGGACGAGCCTTTGATCCTCAGAGCCTCATCTGCTCATGCTTCAGCAGGGCACGCAGCACCTTCTCTTCTTCCGGCTCCAGGAGCTGGGCCTGAGGGGCTAGTGTTCCATCTGGGGAGGCCGGGGCAACGTTAGTGAGGCGAGTGGCAGAAGTGGAGGTCAGGCCCACAGCGAGCTGGCTCAGAAGGGCCCGTTTTCCTGCTGCCCCATGTCTCCCTGCAATCTCCAATTCAAAGTGCCTAAGGAGAACATTTTTGATTTCTTCTAGTAAGAACACAGGAAATTAAAGAAAACAACAAAAAAGAACGTCAGAGGAGAACACAAGGGAATGAGGCGTTAGAAAGCCAGGGAGCAGACTCTGGCTTCCAGAGGTGTCGGTGGCATGTCCTCCCCCCACCCTTTTTAAAAAGATTTATTTACTTATGCACACAAGAACTGGGGTACAGGCCAGAGGTGGGGAATGCGAGGATTCACCAGAGACAGAGTGGGGAACAGAACAGGCAGATCAAGGAAGTACACTGCTGAGGGGAGCAGCGGGTGAGATAGGAGAGGTCTGCTGTGCCGGGTGGGTCACTTCCAGCCTGGGGATTGAACTTGTGACACCCCTCTTTTTTTTTTTTAAAGATTTATTTATTCATACAGAACTGGGGTATAGGCCAGAGATGTGGAGGGTGAGAGGATTCACCAGAGACAGAGCGGGGAGCAGAACAGGCAGATTGACGAAGTCCACTGCTGAGGGGAGCAGCAGGTGGGTCAGGAGAGGTCTGCTGCGCCATGGGGTCATCTCCGGGGCAGGCGGGGATCGAACTCATGTGGAAGCGGCTTTAGGTTCTCAGTGCTGTGCTTTAACCCACTGTGCCACTAGGGAGGGCCATGACACCCCTCTTTTATCGCTCCATCTGTCTGCCTGTCTGTCTATGCATTTATTTATTTTACATCATTCTTCATTCTGTACATTTTCCCATCTCAGTTGTAGTCCCCGTGCCCCCTTCCCCCCAGTTCCCCTGGTGACACCCCTCTTAACAAGAGGACGCACCACCTCGGTCACCTCGCTGCTGTCACTTCTTCCAGGTCCCACGTGTGCGGTTGCTCTGGCACCGTCAGTGCTGGACACGTATCACCTCACTTCAGCCTCACGCAACCCTCCGCGTCAGGTGGTATTAAATCCCATTTCAGAGACGAGGGAAGTGAGGTGCAGAGGTGTTTAAACATTAGTTCAAGATTTATAAGCAAGAAGTGCCAAGACCAGGTTTCGGGTCTGGGGATCCGGCTCCCCGGTCTGACTCCGCGGCTCTGTCCTCTCTGAGTTATCCTTTGGCGCCTCTGGGAAGCCGACGCTCGGATTCCCTTCTCCTTACCTCCTGGCCCCGTGATCTGCTCTTTCTAGCTCACCCGCCAGCCCCGGAGCGCAGGTGCACTGTGCTGCGCGCGGCCTCGCCCGGAGTATTCGTGGTCGCGCCAACGACAGCGTATTTAGTGCCCGCTCTGTGCCAGGTAGTGTTTTTGAAGCATTAGAGGAAATGTAGGAACCCACCGCTTCTTTAGGCGTGTTATTTCTTGTGGGACTGTGGGGGAGAGAGAGACGAAATTTTAAAAAAACAATAACAGAAAAATAAATCTCAGAGAGGGAGGTTGGTATGGAAATACAGCAGGAAGAGGGGTACCAGTGCAGTGATCGTCCCGGCCAGGGGCGCTGTGCCCCCAGGAATGGGCAGGTCTGGCTCCTCATTCTGCTCAGATGTCCCCTTGTTAGCGAGACCTTCACTGAGCATCTTGCATTAAATAGCCATTTTCATCCTAGTGACTGCCATCCCACTGACTTAGATAAATTTTTCTGCCTGGCATGATCTAACATACCATATATTTTATTAAGTAAATACTAAATAAGCAAAGTGCTATGTGGATCTACATGTACTGTGTTTTCATGAGTTCCTCGTGCTGTATTTTATACATATATGTTACATATATTCCTGCAAGTAGATGGCAGTTTGGCTGTCTCAGGTATACCAGCACCCAGTGCTTTGCAAATCACCATTGTTTGATAAGTGCATTTTCAATAAATGTGGATTTCCCAGATTCTCTTCCTCACCTTTTATTACCTGCTGCCATAGTGGTATATTAACTCATGCTTATATTGCGATATGCCTTTCTCTAACTATTGGTTTATATTTTTGCCTATGCGGCTAAAAAGAGATTCTCCAAGACAATCTTTATCTCATTTTTTATCATTGTGCTTCTAGCATTTATACAGGTTTTGGTACAGAGCAGATAGTCAATATACTTTAAATAAATGAA